TGTGGAGTCTCAGCCTAGATTGTGAGTTCAAAATCCTGCCGTCGGCCATAAACTCACCACCTCTGAGTCCGAGGCAAGAATGCCACCAACTAACGTGTAGCTTTGATGAGAATAAAACGTACAGAGGTGCCATCCTTTGGGTGAGTTGTTAAACTTAGGTCCCTGACTGCCTGTTCAGGTGGACATTTCAGATCCCGATGGCCAATAAAGTGTTCTTGTGGTTTGTTTTATCCTTTTATAGGTTATTTATATTTACAGAAATTGAAACGGTTTCAGATTGCAATGCTGGAGCATTTAGTTTTTACTCAAGAAACAGATTTTTTCGTAATTTTAATTTTTTTACAGAGTAAGTGGCTTAATGCAAACTGTGTTATTGTTGTGCAGTGCTGCGATGTGCTGCTGCCCTCTTCTGTTGACATCCTAGTAACGGCACACGTGTGTCCAGGAAAGAAGCTCGTCACTGTTCACTGCCAAGTAGTGCCTTCTTTAATTACAAGCCACAGACAGAATACTGTGCTTATTGGTCACTGTTTTGTTTTAGATATTGATCTTCTTCTTAGTTTTCCCTTTCATTGTATCGAGCACCAACACATGCACCCAGTTCTCTGCCAAGCCAGCCAACTGAGGCCGTGATTCTCTCTAGGATCTAGGTCTGGGATCTGCGTGAGGCAATCCCTGGTTGGGCAAAAAAAACTGGAATGTAGTAGAGCTGGCGATTGACAGTGATGCCACAACCCCGTGTGTGTGTGTGTGTGTCACTAACTCCTGACATGTCGCGCTGCAGCATCTCTACTGATTTTATTCACGTGGCTTCTCCCATTCTTTCTTGCATAATGAGTGATGGGCTGCTTGAAACCAAGGTAAGAATCTTTTTTCGCTTTTCTGGTTTTTTTTTCAGCCTGTTTCAGCGTTTGCTGGTCACGTACTGGGTGAAGTGTGCCGCGAGAAACAGGAGGCCGCAATGCCACTCGTCAGACTCTTACATTGTGGCAAGGTTGTACCCTTCATTAGTGCAATTGCCAATGCTGAAGTAAACAGGACGCTGTGAATAAAAGATACAATGATTCAGAACACCATATATTTATGTGAAGACAAATCTTTGGATAATATAGCAACGAAGCTCCTTAGGAACAGTAGAATGTACAGAACCAGAAAAGGCCATTACAGTCCATTTGTCCAATTTCATTTTCAAATACTATCTCACATTCACACATCTTTGTCGTCAATTACCTCCAGAAAGTGCCCACGTTACCTGTCTCAAACTATTGCACATACTAATATCATAATAATCCTTGTGTTTGATCATAGCACCTTATCAAATTGTTGAAATGTCTCAAAGCTTTTCTCAGAAGTTACTGTAATTTATGTAGGTAAATATTGACTACGTATTTTGTAGGTAAATGTGACACTGGATTTGCACATAGAAATGTCCCACAAAAAGCAATGAAATGTATGACCAATTTTATCAGGGTGATCCGGACACAGGGAAACTGTCTTTTGGAATAGTGTTGTGGGATCTTTAAAAGTTTATCTGAACAAGTAGAACAGGGCCTTAGATTAAAGTCTTGTCTAAAGGACAGTTGTGTATTCACTCTCTTCCATGGATGCAATAAATAGCCGTCAACTGGCAGTCCAGCAAGTAGTGTTGACAAGGTCAGAGTGGACTGAATTTCCAACTTGCAGGTATCTCCAAATTGATATCCAGGACATCTCATTGCCACTGACCCCTATTTCACTGACGGACATGGTTCCAATGGTGTTACTGAATGTTTGAAACCCCAAAGCGGGTGTCCAAGCAGGAATGATGCTGAACATCACGTTATTCTGTTGGGTTTCAGAAGAATGGCTCAGGTCTTGGTGGGAGGGAAAGCAATACATTCCTCCCCAAAAGTACACACTCACATAATCCTCTGTAAAATCGTAGTTCGGCTCTTTTATTGTTCCAGTAATTGGCTAATTGTACATTTTTATCTGTTTAGGGACCCCAACACCATCTTCCGAGGAAACTCGTTGACCTCGAAGTTCATTGATGAGACTATGAAACTAGCAGGGATGCATTATGTACAAGTTACATTAAAGCCAATCATCGATGAGGTAAACCATACTGCTGACCACTGGTGCTTTGAGTTAGCGACTTAGTTTAATCCTGTTATACCTGTTTGTAAGTAAAGGTAACTTCAGGAGGCGCAGACTGTTGTTTCCTCTCCCACCCTGATTTTTAAAGAAATTTACAAAGGATACAAATAAAACAAGAAAATGTTTTATTTCATTTCAAAGGCAATATAGACAGACGGTTAAATAATAAAGGTATGAGGACATTGAATCACAATAAGTGGCACAGGCGCAATGGGCAGAATAGCCTCCTTTGTTGACATTTCTAATAATCTAGCTGAGATCTGTAGTAAACCTGACTGTCTGAAAGGTAGGATTTTCTATTTGAGTTTGTCCTGAAGTTGCCCCATGCTTTCGAGGTCTTGTTTATATTGCAGGATACATTAGAAGTAGCTCTCAAATACCTGTTAGCTAGCTGCTCACTAGCTGTCCTGTTTACTGGGCCGGTGATATCGAAAATCAGTGACATGGAAACACTGCAGATGTGTGAACTAGCTCATAAGTAGTTGTTTCCAAATACAAACTTTGTTTTATGTCTCCAATGCCTGGGAGATTAAATAAAACTCATTGTTATCTGAGAGGTCACACATAGCCATTCCCCCACCACTGGCATCTCCCACCATATAAAAAAACATTAGCAGCGAAGATAGTTCACTCTGCAATCCAATGCAGTTCCCGTTCAAAAGAGATGAGATGAAAGCCTACTTCAGGAGTCTGTGATGTCCACCTCCAGAGGCACTATTGATCGACTGGGTCCTGCTGAGTAAGGCAACATTGTCACTGGTGGCTTTATTGCAGTTTAAATGGAGCCAGTTTTACCAACTCTCAGTTCAGACAGAATGCATGGATAGTTTCTGGGTAAAGAAAGCGCCATGAAAATACAGTATTGCTTTATTGGGTACGGACTGGGCAAAGCTGTTTTTCACCCCTTAACCTAATTAGGGAAAGCACTTATTCGCTTTCTTTTACAGATGTGTGAAGTTCACAAGCCGTGTGAAATTGATTCTGTTAAACTGAAAGATGGTGAAAATCTGGAATCGAATACGGTAAAGCTTTACTTTGATTGCAGTGTATTTCTATTCAACATTATATTTCAAATTAAATTTTTGTGTACAGTAATGTAAGTAAATTTAAACTTATTTAAACACAGTACCCATTAATTACCACAATGACTTTCATTTATAGTGCACCCTTCACACGGGGTAGCATCTCGGAGGTTTGGTTTATAATTTTTAGAATAATTATTTGGAAATGATCATGACTCAACCTTGATTTTATTTCAGGAAAACCTCAGACAATATGTTGAAAGAATTTTCAATGTTATCACAAAATCCGGTATGAGCTGCCCCACAATCATGTGTGACATTTTCTTCTCACTGGGAGAATCTGCTGCTGTACGTTTCCAAGGTAAACCCTGGCGTCTCTGGAACTCATGTTTAGTTGTGGGCACAGGCAGACTCCACTTTGGATATCTTTATAGTATTGTAAAAGTTGTGTTATGTAACATCAAAAGCTATACTATAGTGTATCTTCCTGTGTGAGGAGCTGTATTCGGCATGTTCTAGCGAGGCATATCTTGGCGAGGGAGCCTTACACAAAATGAGTTCTATCAGTGATGACAGCAGCTTATGTTTTATATTGCACCTGTCACATTAAAAGAAAGTCTTGGAGAGTTTTACATAATGCACTTAATTAGAAATAAATAAATGTTTTTATAATAATAATCCTTGCATTTGATATAGCGCCTTACCACATCATCGAGATGTTTCAGGATGCTTCACAGAATATACAGTGAAGTTACTTGACTGTGTATTTTGTGGGTGAAATACAGCAGCCCATTGCACACATCAATGTCCCACAAACAGTCGTGGATTGAGTGGTCAAATTCTTCTTATTTTTTAGGCTAATTTGCAGCAGCAATGTCCTACAAACAACAACTGAAATTAATGTTCAATCAATTAGAGCTTTTGAATTAACTTTAGCTGATCGAGAGTGAATCTAAGCCAAGATAACCAAGAAGAAACTTCCTTTAGCAGGGTGGGACTGGGCTGACTATAGTTGTCAAATAGTTCCATACAGGGATATCTGAATGGCATCATGAAATATAATTAGAGTGGCCATATTAGGATGTATTCAGTCATAGTGCAGAGTTCAGGGGAGAAAGTTTACGTGTATTTTGAGTGGAACTAATCCAAGAAGCCAATGGTAGACTGCAGTGCAAATATTAAATGCTGGCATTGAAGAGCATTTTGTGTTGATCCAACTTGTGCCCATCTATGAGGAATAATTTACACTCCTTAAAAAAGAATGACACTGTGAGGCAAGTGTGAATACTTCAGAGAAAATAATTCTGTCTGACTGATGATTTACATGGCTTAGAATCCCAGAGCTCCACTGTTTATCTTCAACCTCTTCACCTTAGGTATTTATGACTTGCAAGTGAATTTAAGAAAGTGCTCAGAGCAGTACTGTTCCTTTTACAGTTCAATTCTTATAGTTCAACTCTGACCCTTAAGACTAGAAAGAATTGAATATTTTTGCCCACACTGTGGTGGACCAGGTGAAGGAGGAATCTCTTCACGTAATGAAAGGTGTGTTTCAGTTCCTGAGTTTATGTCACAGGGGTGAGGAGAGAAAGAGAGAGATGCATAGATGGAAGAATAGGCAACTAAATGAAGGGGAAGTTCAAATATTGTGCAATTCTTAAATCGTTGATAATGAACTGCTAATATAACTAATTGAACCACTGAACTGGAATCCCTATTGTGCTTCAGGTGATCCTGACGTCAGGTACACGGCTGTCAGCAGTTTTATCTTCTTGCGATTCTTTGCTCCAGTTAATCTCTCGCCTAATCTGTTCCAGCTTCTCCCCCATCATCCGGTAAATATGACAACTTGCTGCAGAATAAGCAGGGGCAGCAGCTCAACTGGTACGGCAGGAATCACAGTGGGAGAAACAGTAGGTTATACCAATATTTTTAGACGCTCTTTATGTTATCATTTGCCCAAAGCATGTGTTGAGTCACAAGTTACCAAAAATTCAGGAAAGTTATTTTCTTTTTTTTTCATTCTCAAGAAATCTTCTCCGTCAACAACTGGAAGGCTGTAAATTATTAGTCAGCTATTTTGTACTTTGAATTTCACCGTGTCACTGATTAACCTTTGTTATAAATATTTAGTTAGTTGACAATCAGTTTTATCATTGTTGACTTTCTATTGTAATAGGATCCATTAACAGCACGGACTCTAACACTTCTCTCCAAGTCCATTCAGACACTGGGGAGTCTATCCAAATCAAAATCTGTAAGTCACTCTTCGTATTCACGTTACAGATACTTTCTTATCTCTACTCGTAAAGGAGAATGTGGATAACATAAACAATAGAATATACCTGATAGAATTATAATTTGTCTTTATTCCTTGAAGGCCTAAAGTTTCCTAATATGAAACCAAAAATACTTGATGGAAATTTTCAAGTGTTTATTAGTTTTGTCGACATTGTGCTGTCAGCTTTTGATATCTGCTGAGAGTGATTTCAATTTGTTAGATAGGAAGATAGTAAATAGCTTGATGCAAGTATTTAATCTGTAAATAATCCATTCACTTACCTGGTCATGGCTGACCAGTGTTTCAACAAATACATCTTGCATTTATGTAGTGCTTTACACAAAGGCTGGATTATCTCAAAGAGGGTTTTAGGAGCACCAAGCAGGAAGGAGAGGAAGAAGCATTAAGGATGTTGACTACAGGCACAGTCAAGGCGAGAAGCTCTAGAACCCAGAGAAACAAAGTACAGGGATCCAGGGAAAAGCTCCAACTTACAGCCAATTTTGCACTGTTTGCTTGTTGAGAAAAGAGCTCTGCTTCTGAATGCTGAGACACAGAAGAGATCCCTTTACCACAGCCCATAGTTCTACATTTAAGGATATTGTTCATGAATATGTTTGGGATTAATTTCCTAATTTTCACAAGTAACATTGAATTATTCCTATTAATTTATAGGCAAGTTTCAAAGAATCCTACATGGCTACTTTTTATGAATATTTCAATGAGCAGAAATACACAGATGCTGTAAGAAATGTAAGTATTGCCATTTGACAAGCAGCTCTTTGTTAATAATGTGTGCTTTGTTTGTGGTTCTCTGTACACCATGATAGGAAGACAGTAAATAGTCACCGAAACCAAGAGGCTTGTGTGACACTTGTCCTGTCGAGATGTAGTCGCCAGACTACGGCATTACCTCACCCCTCACGCTGCTGAAACCCTGGTTCACGCCTTTGTCACCTCAAGGCTGGACTATGGGAACCCTCTCCTCGCCGGCCTTCCCGCACCTCCCTCCACAAGCTGCAGGTCATTCAGAACTCTGCAGCTCGTGTACTGTCCCGCACCAGGCTTCGGGACCACATCACTCCCACCCTCGCTCGCCTCCACTGGCTCCCCATCCCCCAGAGGATCGAATTCAAGATCCTCATCCTCACCTACAAGGCCATTCCTACCCTCCTACCTCTCCAACCTACTATCCGCCTACCTACCTGCCCGTACCCTCCGTTCCTCCGGCTCCGGTCTGCTCCACGTCCCCCGCCCCAACCGCCCTACCATCGGTGGTCGGGCCTTCAGCCTCGCAGCCCCCAGGCTTTGGAACTCTATCCCCCAGTGGCTTCGCCGCCTCCTCCCTTTCCTCCTTCAAGGCCGGTCTCAAGACCTTTCTCTTTGACCGAGCCTTCAGCTCCCCTCTCGGCTCTCTACCCCCTCCTCGCTCCCTCCCTCCCTTCCCTCCCCTCACCCTGACCATTTCCCCCCTCCTCGCTCCCTCCCTTCCCTCCCCTCACCCTGACCATTTCCCCCCTGCTCAGGTCATGACCCAACTGTGCAGCGCCTTGGGACGTCCTCCTGACGTGAAAGGCGCTTTATAAATGGAATCTTGTTGTTGTTGTTGTTGTTGTTTTGGTCAGATGCTCATACCCTTTCCTGCCATCTCCTTCAGATGTCCCTCAAGTGAATACTGCCTATCTTTGTAACCGGCAGCCATCACCGTCTAACCTGACTTCTGTGTTTCAAATGGACCAACCACTACTACTGTTATTACTTCTCTGCCTAACAAACAGAACCAAAAACATATTACCCAACAACAACAACAACAACAACAAGATTCCATTTATAAAGCGCCTTTCACGTCAGGAGGACGTCCCAAGGCGCTGCACAGTTGGGTCATGACCCGAGCAGGGGGGAAATGGTCAGGGGATGGGAGGGAGCGAGGAGGGGGAAATGGTCAGGGTGAGGGGAGGGAAGGGAGGGAGCGAGGAGGGGGAAGAGAGTCGAGAGGGGAGCTGAAGGCACGGTCAAAGAGAAAGGTTTTGAGACCGGCCTTGAAGGAGGAAAGGGAGGAGGCGGCGAAGGCACTGGGGGATGGAGTTCCAGAGCCTGGGGGCTGAGAGGCTGAAGGCCCGACCACCGATGGTAGGGCGGTTGGGGCGGGGGACGTGGAGCAGACCAGAGCCAGAGGAACAGAGGGTACGGGCAGGTAGGTAGGGGGTTAGTAGGTTGGAGAGGTAGGAGGGAGCAAGGCCTTCCTCTTTCACTTTTCATGATCACTTTCTTACTGCACGTAAATTCCCTCACCCCTGTACAATATATATAGATACAGTAGAATCAATATCGATTCCACTGGAAAGTGTGCTGATCCTCTACACAACTCCAACTATTTCAACGTTACATGTTTCTTTTATGTGTTTCTAACTCCACTTTCCCTTGGTCACAGAGATATCCCCCACCCTTCTCAGGCTGCTAGCGATCTTTGAGCAGGCTCTTTTCGCATGGGAAAATATCTGATAAGGAGAAAGATATGGACAACTTCTGGACAGCCTTCCACAGCCTGCTTGTTTCTCAGCCTTGAGATAGGCAGGTGTCTGAGGCTGCAGCCTTTTCCTTCTGTGATCCATTGTTCTTACATCTATGTTCAAGGGCCCAATTGCTCATTATCTCAGAGGAGTGAACATCTTACCAGGAAAATCTGAAATGTAATCAACCCGTCTAGCAAAGCTACTTTTAACCCCTGCTAAGCTAGTCATTCTATCAAACATACCTTATTAAAGAATTATGGGTAGGTTATATTCTAAATGCATATAAAGGTTAATTAAAAGCCTTAAAAAACATTAAAAATTACAAATATAATCTTACAATAGCTACATTTTATTTTCTAGGCAACTATTGTTGGGGATCTTTCTTGCGGTGATCACTATCTTCTATGTAACTACATACCCTGCACAGCACGAAAACAGACCATTCAGCCCAACTAAACCATGACAATCTTTATACTTCATTAAGCCTCCACACATCTGAATTCTCTCTCCCTATCCCCTTCCGTACCCCTCTATTCCCTTCACTCTCATATACTTTAAATGGGACAACCATCACTATCTCTTGATTCCAGGACCACTGCTGTTCTGACAGACTGCCGGTCAGATATCAGGCCTTCAACATTGTCTTACTCAAATGTTGAGGTTTTCCTGCTTGGCTCGCACCAGCATCTCACCTCAGGTGGCAGCATAAACCTCCCCAGTTGTTCACTCCAGCTCATGGCGTCTGTTTGGAGTTTGTATTTTCTTGAACTCTCACCTGTCCTTTAAACATTTCATCTGGACTCTGAGCATGTCTGCTTTCCTTCATCTCTTGCCTGCCTTGGTCATTCCTTTACTTCATTGAGCAGAAACCCTCACCTATGCCTTTGTCATCTCCAGACCCAACTTTTCCAATACTGTGCTCGCTGACCTCCCAGCTTTGCCCTTCACTAGCTCCAGATCATCCAGAACTCCACGTTGGCACCCTCTGTCTCACTAAGTTGTGCAAACCCATCGACTCCATCCTTGCCCAGCTGCATGGGCTCCCCATCTGCCAGGGGGAGCCCACTTTAAGATCCGCATTCTCACTTTCAAATGCCTCCACAGTCTTGCAATACCTTAACTCTGTGATGTTTTACAACCCTGCTCCCATGGTTACTCCCTATGCTCTGCCAGGTCTGGCCTGCTTCATGCCACATCCGCTCTACCCCACCATCAGCCATTTTTGATGATCTCGCTCCCACCCTCTCGACTTTCAAAAAACCTTTTGAAATACCTACCTTCACAACCCTTTCATTAATAATAATATAATAATCCTTGCATTTGATATAGCGCTTTTCACGTCTTCTCGACATCTCAAAGCGCTTCACAGAATAGACTGTAAAGTGAATTGACCGTATATTGTGGGCAAAACTAAGGCACCAAAATAGAGATTTCCTCGCTGTCTTATCATCTGCTGTAGAATGAAATGCATGAAGACAGAAACTGCATGAAAACTAATGGAAATGGAAATGAGTACTGGCCATAACCTATCAAGTTGGGGAGTTACACCCATTATAAGGAAACTGGAAGTTGCATTGACAAACTAAGGGAACTCCACTCTGATGAGAGCTACTTTCAGAGCGCTGTTCCCATGCTTGAGCTAATGGACAGAAAAGCGTTTACTCAGAATCCTTATTAAGGAATTAGAAATGACCATTAAACCAACACACATTAGAACTCACTGTTACTGAAGGGGAAGTGACCGTAAGCACGGTTGTAAGGAAGGTTTTCAGGCAGGACTTGAAAAAGGGGAGAGAGCGAAGAAGGCGGAGAGATTGAGGGAGAGTATAGCTTTCAAGAGGGAATTACGTAGATATCATAACAGGATTAATTTGCAGGGTATGGGGAAAAGCAGGTAAATTGAATTGAATAGATTCCTCTTTGAAAGATGCAGCAAGATGCAATGAACTTCATATTGTTCTTTGTAATGGAAAATGTTATGGTGCTAGAGTCAGCAGGTTGCACTTCCAGTTGTGGGAAAAAGTCGTGCCACCTTGGAATACGAATTACCACAAATGTGATGCGAATAATACGTGATCACAAATCCCTAGTGCTGTAGTGTTGCTATAGCACACCTTTAAAATTTATCTTCTTTTGAATCATGTCCAAGAAACCATTAAAGAAGGTTAAATAAACAAATGTTAATGCTGAGGATACTGACTGCATGTCTAGTAATAATTTCTCTCCCTCAAGTTCTGCTGAAGGGTCGTGGACCCGAAACGTTGACTCACTTTCCTTTTTCCATAGGTGCTGCCTGACCTGCTGAGTGTTCCCAGCGACTTCTGTCTTTATTTCTCTCCCTCTTCAGGACTATCCTTTTCTTAACAAATAATATTATTAGGAGCCTGATTCCTCCTTATAAAGAAAAGTAATTTAATTTAACGTGCCCATTGCATTTTACAAAACTGTTAGCCTCTGTATTTCTGTGGCCATTTTTATGCAGTTAACTTTTAAAGTTGAAAGACATCTTACTTGGTTATAATAAAAACAGTAATCTTTATACATTTAAAATATAAGTTTTCATATTGTGATACAGATGTTATTCACCTATTAATAATCCTGTTTCTTTTCATTATTTAGGGAGCATCCCATAGGAGACAAGTCTTTTCAGTGTTATTCAACCCAAAACTCTGGATGTTCAACCAATTCAATGTGACCACCTGCCTTAACAAAGATGTGGAAAAGTTGAGAGTATTATTTTATAACAGGCGTTGCTGGATATAAAGAGGTCAACAATGTTAAATGAAGCTTAAAGAAACAGAAAATAATCCATTTGAACCCGATGTGTACAGACTTGCAACATTAAACTCACATACATTTGGTGGTTGATTAATGTTTTCACAAACTGTTACATATGCACTTTAGTCATCTGTTTGCAACAGATGATTTAACTTTTTGCCCTTAAGGCATTATTTTATACCTGCTTTTACTGGTGATCAGTTCAATGATCATTGAAAGTGAATCCATCTGTAAGCATCTCCAGTGTCATTTTAAACTTCTTGAAGCCAAATGGAGCTAAGTACTGAAGTAACAAAACAAAGCAAAGCATTACCTTTTGTAAGCAGCTAAAACAGTTTCTGTTAGTATTGAAGGACAGCATCAATTGTTTTTTCCCTGCAGAGCTTGAAAAATGTAACCTCATTATATAGCGCACAATGATTTTTGCACTGTCGCCTTCTGTTTTACTTTGATTTTGCTAGAACCTGGGATTAGCATTCTATTGCTGGGAAGGAAAAGAGGAGGATTTAATAGGCATGTTTGTTTGGTGCATCAAATGTCAAATAAGCACCACACTATTCCACATTCATGTTACAGCCTTTGGCCCAGCGACATTCATTGGACCACAAAGGTGATGGTGTAGTGGAGGCACAATGCCATCTGGATGGTTTTCAGTTGTTTATTAAGAAAAAATGTCTTGTAGGCAGAAACGTTTGCTACTAGAGTTCACGGCACCTTTTGTGCTATTTTCCAGCTGACAAATAATGTTCTGCTTTAATTGTAGTGGAAACGTCCCACCTTGTGCACCATGACAATCATGTAGGAAGCTTTTGTAACAAAACTATGTGTTCAGTTGGCAGCATTGTGGCCGGTTCGCACTCATCCAGCTCTAGATATCTGACAGGCAGGCTGACAGAACATCAGGGGACTGGGAGTTGCAAAGTAGGTGAGAAAAATAGAGTTGGGTGTCATCTGCATACATGAGATGACATGTACCCCATGTCTGCCGATGACATCCCCAAAAGGGAGCGTATAGATTAGGAAGAGGAGGGAGTCAAGGATGGATCCTTGGGGTAAACTGCAGCATGAGAGTGGGAGGAAAAGTTGTTTGTGCAGATGTACTTCTGGTGGTTCGTGAGGTAGGACTTGAACCAGGCGAGTGCGGTCCAACTGAGGTGGATGACGGAGGAAAGGCGGTGGAGGAGGATGGCCATGATCGACTGTGTCGGAAGTGGGGGAGAGGTCCAGGAGGACAAGGAGGCAGAGGGAGCCCTGGTCACAGATAGAGAGGATGTCGTTTGTGACTTCCACAAGCGTAGTCTCTGTACTGTGGGCAGGGTGGAAACCGGACTGGGAGAGTTCGAAGAGGGAGTGGGAGGAGAGGTGTGCGTGGAGTTGATTGGCAACAACGCGTTCTAGGACTTTGGCGAGGAAGGGCAGGTTAGAAATAGGGTGGTAGTGGCTAGGGATTGAGGGATCTAGGGAAGGTTTTTTGAGGAGGGGGATGATGACAGCAGTTTTGTGGGGGGCAGGTACTGATCCAGAGGAGAGGGACTGGTTGATGTCATCAACCAGTAGTGGGGAGAGGAAGGGGAGCTGGGTGACCCGAGGAGCTGGGGAGCGGATCGAGGCAGCAGGTGGTGGGTTTCATTGAAGTGATGGGTGAGAGGGAGGAAGGAGAGATGGGGAGGAAGGAATGTAGGATGGGGGTCGTGGTAGGAGCTGATGATGGGAAGGGTGAGGGGGACGGAGCGGGGGTAGTGGTGGGTAACAAGAGGCAGGAGGATGAGGCTGCCTGGCGGATGTTATGTATTTTGGATGAAAAGATGTCCACGACTTTCTCGCACTTGACATTAGATGTGAAGATTGAGGAGGCCTGAGGGGGTGCACGGAGGAGGTAGTTGGTGGTGGAGAAGAGGACTTTGGGATTGTTTTTTGCCTCCAAGATGATGTTGGAGTAGAAGGCCGTTTTCAAGCGCGTCAAAGAATGGCGGTAGCTGTGGAGATGCTCGAGCCACAGTTGGTGGTGAACTGTCAGGCCAGTTTTCTGCCACCTGCGCTCGAGCAGCTGGGTTTGGGTTTTTAGGGAGCGGAAATGATTGTTGTACCAGTGGGATCGGGTGGGTTTGGAGATGGTGCTGGATTTCATGGGCTGAGAGAGTTGAAGGTGGAGGAGAGGCGATCATGGAGCAGCTGGACTGCTGCTTCAGGATCTCTGCGGGTGGAAGACCAGAGGGATAGGATATCTGAGGATGTGAGGGTCTCTGTGAGGGTCTCAGGTAGCCTTTTCCAGGGGCAGTAGAGTATGACACCTAGGTTCCTAACTGGCTTGGTGATTTGTAGTGTGCAACCATGGAGGTTGATGCTGCCAGAGCTTGAAGTGCAGAGGAAATTTGCCTGTCTGTCAGAACAGTAGTGGTCCTGGAGTTGAGGGTGGAGGCAGAAAGACAGACTTGGGTGATATCCGCAAACATATGGAAGTTGACCCCATGTCTGCGAATGATGTTACCAATAACACACCTAGTAATAATATGATTGCGTTTGTGTACCTATCATGTTGAAATAGCTCAAAGATCTTCACAGATAATGTGCAATTACTATGCATTTGTAAACAAATATTTCAGACATTTTGCACAACAGTAAGGTCCCACAAATAGCCATACAGTGAATATCTGATTTATTTTGCCAGGACACATGGAAAATTTCCCTTTTTTCAAATAGTGTTATGGGATCTTTAACCAGAAGATGCCACTTTCAACATTTGCAATGTTCCCCAGTATCACACTGAAGTGTCAGTCTAGCCTGAGTTCATAATCCTGATGTGGGGCTTAAACATAGAACCTTCTCAGAGGCCAGAGCTAAGATGATACTTTATTAAGTGTTATAGCAGCTGTGATGCTGGGACTATTTTTTATTAAATACTAAAAATTCGGATGTAAAAATTCAGATATAAAGCATGCCTGGAGTTTTCTCAACATTGACAGGTGGTGTGGTCTTCAGATGATCTGTTCGATTCTGGAAAACCTTGTGATTCTTCAAGCATATGGCATTCTGGAGGATGGGATGGAATAAATGTTGGGGAATTGTCTGGCAATTGGTCTCATCAGTAACAGGGAAGAAATGACAGAACCTTTTGGTAATTCAGTGATGTTCTGCTACCATCAGATAAATTGTTGGTGTCTCAGTTGTGCCTGACTAACACAAACTAAAATTCTATACAATTTGTTCTTCAGGCGCATAAACTTGTTCTTATAGTTTTAGTGAATAATTGTGCTCATAAAAGTGATGTGTTGATCAAATATGTTACAGGATCTTCTTCAAGCTGGTGATGGTCTCTTTCCTCCCCGGAGTTATCAGCTGCTTTACACTTATTCCTATTTTTAGCATGTTTTATACGATGAATAAAATGAATAAATAAAGTGAGCAGCATTCCACATAGTTGACTTAATCTTAGGAAATATTTTACACATATTTGCAATTTTTTAATATACATCACAAGAGGGTCTGATAAAGAATATGAACCCATAGGTTCAGTGCCCTGGCCTCAATCATCCTTCCTGCTAATAACTTGCAACTGTTACTTTCTATCATCTTTGAGGTGCAAATGTGACATGTGATGTTTTACGTGGTCAATCCTTTTGATATTTAATTGACTTGAGCTCAGTGACTGGAAAGTCTTCATTTAAGATTCTAGTAAACAAGCAAATGGGAGGTTAGGAGATTTTTTTTCACACAGAGTAACTAGGACTCTGTTGGGAGCAGTGGTTGAGTCAGAATCTCTATTCGCCTTCATAGGAAATTATAGCACGGAATCAGGTCATTTGACCTAATAGTCTATGCCAGCGATTATATTCCATACAAGCCTCCACTCATTCTAATCCCCTCCCCTATACCCCAATCTTCCTTGCTCCCATTAAATAATGGACCAAATTTCCTTTTAGATACGTTAAATGTTAATAGAGTTCTGAAGCAGCATTTCTGTTATCTGGTCTGATCAGGACGTGCCAGCCAGTACGTCCCAGCTAAGGCAGTTAACATTATACCAGCCGCCTGTACGCTGATCACAGGGTGTTTTGTGTCCCCAGGAAAAGATCTTATTGAAGAGCTGGTAGAACAGCAGCCTGTGTGCAGCATGTCCTGAAGGGTATCTTACAGGACATTGAGTTAAATGTCCGGTAATGCAGGATTGAGAAATTTATTTCATCATGATTCCTCGGGAACTGGATAAACATCTGAAAGGAAGTAAACTAAAAGGGTATGGGGAAAGAGCAGGTAAACAGGCCTGAAAAAGATGACTCTTAAAGGAGCTAGCTCCGTCGTAATGGGCTGAATAATCTTCTGTGTCGAGAGTTTGGCACAATGGTTTGGAACTGCTTTAAAACTTTGGCAATCACCAAAGCCGTTTCTGTACTTAGAGCAAGGTGTTACACTACACAGGTTTTGTACAACATGAGCAGCCACTGTCTTTCCATGTCAAATTAATCCCCTTTAAAAGTTCGTCAAAAACAAACAACTCAGTTGATTTATCCATGAAATTCTCAATTTGCATGAAATTTACTTTAATCCTTCTCACTTTGTGCCTCTTACTATTGTTCGGTTTACAGTTTCAGTTTTTTTTAAAAAAAACATTTGTCCCTGATTTCCCAGCTGTTCTTAACTGCTGTCTGGCTGGCTCGTTCGTTTGAAATCGGTCGGTCGGGGGCTTGTTTGAAGGCGGGCGGTCAGTCGGTTGCTGTTTGTTTGGGGGCGGGCGGTCGGTCGCTGTTTGTTTGGGGCCGGGCCGTCGGTCGGCGGCTCAATCCCTAATCTTCTTTTGAATAGAAAATAGAAATTGATTGTACGTTCCCCTTTTTCCTATTCATTTTCTTTTTAGTTCAGTTTTACCAAGACATTATTCTATGTGAAAGACACTGTATAAACGTGAGTTGTTTTTTCAGTGTTATAACTTTTGTTACATAGAAACTTTGAAACTATCGCTTACCTTTTATCTCTTTTGTTCTCTTGTTCCTACCAATCTGTTTTAGAAATGTGACGAGTTCAGTTCTTCATCTGATACACGCCTTCATT